TGGAAGCGGGGATATTGACTTTGGACCAACTGATAGATGATGAAGATGAATTTTTAATGTATGCTGCGTTAAGAGATAAATATCATCTATTGGATGTAATTCAATGGCAATATTTACAGTTACAACATTTGTTAACAACATTGTTTGGACCAGCAGCAATTTCAGCTTCTGAGACACCTGAGATATTAAAACAACTTGTTAAATCCTTTAAAACTAAAAGACCTATTAGTTTGAATAGATATTTGTTATCAATAAATCAATTTGATATGCAGATGCTAAGGGATGAGTGTGTGATGGAAAACTTGAGTGAGGAGGTCCAAGGTCATTGGGAGTCGGAGAGGAATCTCAAGCATCTCCTCAGCCCTCAGCCTGAGCATGCGAAAACTAAGAGGATGAGACTGGCACGATCCTAAGGAATTCAGAGTGTTTAGTTGCGGTCGTTGGGGGTTAGAGTTAGTCTGGCGAGATTCTGCCTAGTATGTGTAAGCTAATAAAATAACTGAACTGTTCCTGAATTGTCCCGCTGTTTCTTGGGCTGAACCTGACAGAGTGGAATTAGAAGGTTTCTATATTGCCTAGACAATGGGAGAGTGTCTTAACTTCTATTGCAAGTGTGTCAGTGGACCTCAAACTACAACTTATACAACAAAAAATAATATTTAGAATTTATTGGACTCCACTACGTCTATAGGATTGTCAAAAACAGCATTTTGTTGGAGATGTAATGAGGATAATGCTTCTTTAAAACATGTTTCTACAATGTCCTATACTTACCAAGTTTTGGGAGAAAGTAGTGGACTATATAAATATGATTGTATGACAAAAGCTAAATTTTTCAGAGGATAATATTCCTTTGAACTATACACCTAGTACATGGAACTGGACAACTGGACAACGTAAGTGGATTCTCTGTGCCCTTACTATGGCCAAAAGACTGATACTGCAGCATTAGAATGATAAATGTATGGCCCATTTATTCAGTTGATTGAAGACCTGATTGCACTTGCTACTTATGAGTGGATTGCCTATAGATGTAGATTTTGTATGGGCAAGTATAGTGAAATATGGGACTCATTTATACAAAATACACTGGGTTAAAAGAAAAGAAACATGATAGTCATATAACTCTATTAGATACACACACACACACACACACACAGACACACGAATAATATTTGCATTAGATAAGCATATATAGAATTGTAACTGTTTACTGTTATATTGATATATTTTTTCTTTTTGTTATTTTTTTTTACTTTTATGTTAAAGCACTTTTATATATTAAAAAAATAAATTAAAAAATATATATTGTCTGGCTTTTTGAGGATCTAACAAACTATGTCTTCCTGAGCTACTTTCTCCATGACACAGGGCTTCCCTAATAAGTGCTAAGGCAAGTTAACAAGCTCTGCTCTGTGACTTTAATTAGTTGATTAGTACCCTATCACTGGCTTGGTTTTATAATTGTATTGTGCTGTACAATGTTTTATATTGTATAATCACTAGTGCATTTTGTTGGTGTTGTAGTTGTTTACTAATAAAAATAATTAAAAATACTTTTTTCACAGGGTGGTTTCAGTCAGTGCAATATAGCCTATTGACCTGAATCTTCCATCATATTTTAGATTCTTCAGTATGGATAACTACAGCTACCAATAAGAGAGCTATTTCATGTGGATCAGCGTTTCATCAAGTCCCTATGAAATTAGAGAAAAATTTGAAGAAAAGAAGTACAATACTGTACTTGAAGGCTATCCCAATAAATAATCTCAGCTGTGCAGGATTTTCCCTCACATTGACAGCCTTTGCATGTCTGAACTGCTTATTGTCCTCAGACATTCCATATATGTGTGGACAATACAAAGTGGCAAGGACACAACAGGGAGTGAATCTAACATAAAACCGATCTGGCACTTCACAGCTAACAATTTATTGAGTTAGAATGACATTACCCTTCTTAGTGAACGCTCATAGGTTGGGCAAATGATGGCAGGGAAGAGGAGGACACATAGCCAATTTGAGGAAAGTTTGTACCCCCTGTTTGTACAGAAGACAACAGGCAGCTTCTGTTTCTGGATTGGCAGAAGGCCCATCCTACTCTTCAAATAGGATATAAAAGAGATGGGAACAAGACAATTTCCAACTGTTCTTGTTTACCATGTCTGAAATGAACATACTCAATATGAAATTCAGCAGTTACTTTCATTGAATATTAGTCTCTATGTTCAACTTCCAAGGAATAATTTTGCTTTGAAAGATAGATTTTTCAAAGGGGAAAAAACAACACATATGGAAGTAATAGCACCAACACAACAAAACAACAACACGGTGTCCACACATTCCTGTGTGCCATGGTAGGCTTTAGTTATACAAAAAGAATGGTTTAATCATGCTTAAGCAGTTCAAATTAAAATGCATGCCATTTAATAGGCAATATGAGCACAATGAATTCAATTTTTGGAGGAGGATGGACGTTCTTTGTTTTAGAATGTTCAACAATTTATGAGTCTTGTGCTTTAGCAATAAGATTAGGAAAGGACGTTTTAACCCAATGGAACATTACAGAGATGAGTGAAAAAATAATTTCACTGTGCAATGAATTAGCAGGCACGGCAAGAAGGCATTTGATTGAGGCTGGTTTCTTGGCCATGTCTTTCTGCTCACCTCCTTCAGGCTTGAATGGTCCATCAGATATCACTTTCTTGAGGGCTAGTTGGCTTTGCTCTTGGTTGTCAGTGGCTGGTGGAGGCAGATTGTCAGACTGAGTTCTTTGAATTGGGAGGGCTCCCACTATGCTGTGTCTGTGCTGCTTCCTTGCATGATTAGACTGACCGCTTTTATGTGCTGCTGTGGCAGTATGGGTGAAATGGAAACCCACAATATGTACCTCAGATGGAACCAGCTTAAATGTTAGTCATGCAAACAGAAATGGGGGAATTCTCTTTTCTGCATCTAAATAGGCAAGTTTCTTTGAATTCCAAAGAGACATCACATGAAGAGCCCTAAATGGTAATTAAACTGGCTGTTTCTTTTTAATTAAAATAAAAGGATAAAGAAGACACAGAGGATTTTATTTCCTGCCTTTTGCATTACACAACAGTGACTGGGCACCAATTATCATGAAGACAACAAATGGTTGCCACAGTTGGATTATACTAATTTGTCACTCACTAAATCCTCAACCTATAATTACATGAGAGAATGATTTACACATGGTGGAATACAGAAAAGCTGTAAGTGTTAAATCTCATTGCTCACTAACATTTTTTATACCCCAATATAATACAGACCCCACAGGGCTAATTATTAGATTGTTAACAATGCCAGCATCTAATTTTAATTATAGCCAATGAATTTTTGTCCATGTGATTCTACAATAATACCATTGGCTGAAGAAAACATTTCAAGGATGTTGCTTTTAAAAAATAATTTTGTCAAAAGGAAAGAACATTTACCAATATAAAACTGAAAACATTTTAAATATGCTCTTCCATTTTTTGGTTTCCAAAGTCTAGTACTCTATGATAGGTCTATCCCATTTGCTTTTTAAATTTAGAGTGTTGTTTTTTATAAACTGTCCACAATTCTCAGGTAGGGGTAGAGTTAGAAACAAAGTATATGGAATTTAAATTAGAGTTGAGGCATTTAGTGACACCAAAAGAACAAAACACAGCAAACTTTTCCCATAAGAAGTGCAGGATTGTGAGATTGAACAAATGGAATACATGCTGGAAAAACAACCAGTTTAGTGGCATTCTATATCGATAGAAAAGGATTTCCTAAGCGGGAGACTATCTTATATTTCTATGTATTTACAAACAAACACACAGAATACTGAACAGGTGGAATGTACAATGTGCCAAGAGCAGAAAGAAAAGGCCAGCAGCAGGGAAGATGGGCAAACAAGAAGTTGGGGTAAGGGTGGGAGAAGGCAACAGATGAAAATTAAGCTGCCATGCTGAGGAATTTTATTTGTGTCTTTTACTTGGTTGGAGGCGAAGCTGTTGGACAGCTGCTTCAGCAGCAGCGATGGCTGCCCCAGCATCTTCAAGGTGAGTTTGAGTGACACTGGTTTTGCTTTGGCTGCGAGATGGTCCATGAGAACGCAGATGTCCCTCGGAGGAAGATTTGGAACTTCCTGGACTGCTGTGGGACTTCTCAATGGTAGGCATCTGCATATCTAGTATGAATTGTGAGAAAAGATAATGGGAATACAGTGTATTACTCTTCTTCCACCTCAGGGCCACAGAACTGCTTCTACTCCATAATCCCTCAAAGGCAACAAAAAACAATCTGCATGATCTTCTCAGCTTACCTTGCAGTATTTAGAATGAGGAGCAGAGAATAACATTTAATCACTGCCCAACCCTAATCTTCCATAGGTCCTGAAGAAACAAAATTTCTTCACTCCCTCTCTATGCATTATCCTGTCCCCATATCCATGAGCTACTTTTACATTCTGGATATTTGCCTGGTTGTATGTAAATACCCCAGTGGTTCCTAAACAGAGGAGATATAAAGCTATCAAGCCACTTTTTTCTTCAAAGACATGAAGCTTGGGTATGGCAAGAGTTACTGCATGTGTGGAAATGGATTACTCACAAGCTTACTTTGCCATAGTTCCAAATACATTACACCTGAATCAAAAGTAAGTTGGCTCAGTTCTCTAACAGCCACTGTTATGGGATCACATAGTCTGCAGTTGCTTTCAAAATGATGCAAAATCCTCATATGGAAGTGTTCCTAGTAATTTTATAATGTTTTCGATGATTCAATCACTTCATTTACATTGCCCTGTGGCAATTCTACACCAGCCCTATAAAATAGACTGATACTATTATTGCTATTTTGAATGATGAGACACAACAGCTGAGAGAGTGACTGACTTGTACAAGACAATCCATGAGTTCCCGCCAGGGATTAGGTTTAGAACTGAAACCTTTGTGAAGCTGAACAAAACCCTTCTGTGTCTTATCTTTACTACCTAAATGCCCCACTGCCAGAACCAGCAGGCAACTGTATTTGGAGGGCAGAAATGGATGTAACCTTCTATTAATCCTCCATCACCTTCAAAGTGAGCTTGGGATGTGTTTCTTTGCTTCACTTCCAAAATATACTTTTCCCCATTATATTGACTTCAGTGCCCTGTCTCTTTGGACAAGAACATTTCAGTTTGCTGCAAGACAGTTCATCAGTTTATTGGTTGCTTTGCAAAGGAAGAATCACTCCTCCAGCTGCTCATGAGGCACTCTAATACAGTGTTTCTCAACCTTGGCAGTTTTAAGCTGGGTGGACTTCAACTCCCAGAATTCATGCTGGCTGGGGAATTCTGGGAGTTGAAGTCACACAGCTTAAAGATGCCAAGGTTGAGAAACACTGCTCCAATAGGTTCTATACTCCTAATAGTTACAGGTAGTCCCCAGTTTAAGATTGAGTTCCTCAGTTCCTAAGATCCTTAAGTCAAATTTGTATGTAAGCCAGAACAGTATTATTGTATAATACTGCATAAGTAGTATGGTGTAATTAACTTGAACCATTGTGTATTTAACTTGAATCATTAACTTCCTGGGTAAGACAGGGGATTAGCTATGCATCACATGTTAATTTCACATCATAGGGTCTATAAAACCACACATTACCAGGAAAACATATCCCCATAGTTCACAAAGACGGAAAGAAAAACTCTTACCTTTTGATGGGTCAGGAAAAATACCATGACTTCTGCTCTTGATGACTGATGGTTTTGGAGACTGTTGGCTATTCTGCCCCGAATGGGATTTCCCATGGTCGATGCTTTCACTCTGTTCCTTCAGAGCATACCACCGAGGAGTATTATCCAGTGGAGAGCCACTAGAGAGTTCAATTAAGACCTATGCAGTGACAGAGAGAGTAAATCTCTAGTTTTGTAAAAGGATCTGCTCTGGATGCACTGAATCTCAAAACTCACTCCAAACCAGTTTTATATTTTGGTTCTGATGGTTGTTCAGGATTTGTGCGCAAAGTCTTTATTTGAGGAATTTAGAAATTAAATTATGTTAGAAAGGAAGACAACATGTGGAGGAAAAGGAAGAAAGAGGATATGGTAACAAATAGAGATGGGGGGTTACTTTGGAGGTTTACTTCCATCTATGTGGGCACTGGATGAGCATTTAAAAGAAACTAAAAGTGGAAGAAAGCAAAACTGACTAATTCATACACCTTGATGTAGGTCTTTGAGGGTTTGAATTCATTTCATGTTTGTGCTGTGGAATGGTAATTGATAATTTTGAGGAGATAGTTGATGAGAGAAAGGTGCACCAGGAAAGAATAACTGGGAAAAGAGAGTGATTGTTTAAGAATTGTAGATACAGGCAATGAACAATATAGACATTAGTATTTCACATACCCCCTTCGGGGTATCTTGAAATATCTTTAAAGTACTTTGCAAAACACCTTTCATGTCAAACTTCACTTTTTATTTGGACTCTGGATAAAACCAATTGGTAAACAATTTCTCCTTTTGCATATTGAAATTTATACTGCAATTTCTTATATTTCAGATTTTTTCAGTGCAGGTTAATGTTTTTCAAAAGACTTTTCTAAAGTGCCTTAACATATAGGACTGGCAATCTATACATTAGAAAAGTAAATAAAACATAAACAGTTCATTATTTATAGCAGTGATTATACATTCTACATTCTGATGCAGATTCTTAGTTATAAATTAAATTAAGTAAATATTGGCATTTATATATACACAGTATAGGCAATTGAGACATCTAAACTGCTTCTAGATTTGCAAGAGAGACAGTTTGGGGTAGTGGTTAAAGGTGCTGAACTAGAAACTGGAGACCAGGACTACTAGTCTTGCCTTAAGCATGAAAGCTGGCTGGGTGATCTTGGGTCAGTTACTCTCTGTTTCAGCCCAACTCACGTCACAGTGTTTTTGTGAGGAAAATAGGAGGCATTACATATACCCTCTTGAGTTATACAAAATAAAGGTGCAATATAAATATAATAACAATAATAATTTCCAAGATTGCTTTAATGGTTTGGCCTTTACTGCATTGCTTTGTTGTTAGACATCCTAGTTGTATTTCGATATGTTTCATTTAAATATTTAGAAAAATATTGATATTAATGTTTTAAATCTATGACAGTTCCTATGGGATAGGAAGTGATTACACAGGATGTACAAGTGGAAAAAGTTAATGCAATACTTGAGCAATGAGAGATGACTGAACCTGGCTTTATGCTATAATTTCAGCTCCTAGGCATAAGTGTGCTGAGTTATCCTATTAGTTTGGTCCTGTTTCATTTATCAGAGTGCAACTTCATAACCCATTTCAAAAAATTAAAGTGTTTTGCAGTGTTTTAGTTGAGCTATGAAGAAACTCCTCTGAGATCAGAAACTAAGAATGACTGGACCTTGGACTGGGATTGGAGACTTCAAGAAAACCCAAGGCTGCAGGATTGACGGGGAAGCTGAAAGGCATCCCAGAAGGAGAAACGGCAAACCACTTCCTTACTGTTGGCATGAAAATTACTTGTAGGTGTTGAGCTCAACTCAACGGAGATAATAGTTTGCTTACAACTTTACAACTTTACACTAAAACAGTTTTTTAAGAAACCATGGTTAATTGTTATAGTGGCTTTGTTCATGTATAATTAAACCATAATGGGTAGGTCTGCACTTTAGATAAGCCAAAAACAAACAAATCCATGATTTCCAAAATGGAGAAACCTCACAAGTCATTACTGTAAATCTCTGTCATTGACCTTCTACTTTACATAAGCTGCTATCTAGATGAATACTTATTGGGATTTAAAAAAATGTATAACGTGAGTATATTTTCAACTGATTACCATGTCAGGAAAGGGAAAATTAACAAATCAAGGAAAATGGGAAACTTACTTCACCCAGGAAGTCATTGGAGGAGAATCTATCATAGTCCCAGACAGTGACTTCCAGAGTTTTCTTCTTCAGCTGCAAAAGATAATTACTTTTAGTTCCCACTGTGCACTTAGTACCCAATCCATAAAACATGCTCCACTGACTAATGCCTGCCTGTACCCTCTATCTACTGGCAAGATGATCACTCAGCAATTCTTGTCCTCACATCAACCTCGGTGTGTGTGTGTGTTGGTCTTTGGAATCAATTCCAAGTGGAACTTTGAAGAGTGAATTGGTCAAGCTTTGACTGGGTGTGCCCAATAATAGACCATGTTAGTGTCTGTCTGTAATGATGCAAGAAGTAACCTTGTCCAATCCCAGCTCTGCGCATTATTGATTCAAGTATTTTGGACAGAGGGCTATGTGGGCTCTGTCTTAATGTCTTAATTCTTTTTCTGAAGGTGCAACGAAATGTAGTTCATTAAGATATCATGCTATAATTGACATTTTAATTTAAAGATCTGATATAAAGATAATTTGATCCATTTAAACATTCAATTTAAATTGGGGACTTTTGAATCAATTTGGTGATTTATTGCATTTCTATACATCTATACACACTTTTTTATCTGATCAAATTGACAGTTATAATCAACTTCATTCAAGACCATTTCTTCAGATCATATTGACGTTTTGAACTGTTGAATTGATGAGTCAATTTGGATCTTGAGTGATTGGCATATGCATAATTGATACTCTGTATATATTTTATTAGCACTACCAGATATAAATCTAGGAGTCTTGAAAAGACAGCAGCCACAGATATCCCACAACATTTAGCTTTGCCCTATACAAGTGAACGTATACTACCATATTACTAATGTATGACACAGAAAATTTCTCTACATTTTCCTAAGCTCAGGGAGACAAAGCAGTTGCTTCTCATTTAACTTGCTTTTCCATTTATCTATTTCCTTAACTGTTCTTCCTCAGCTACAATATCAAGCCAGATTCTACAAAAGGTAGGCAGAGCAACAAGAAAAAAATACAGAATGGCTGTCATTAATGTTCAGAGGAAGAATGTGATAGATTGACATTCAGAGGAACAAGATATCAGGCAATCCTGGCATAATACAGAGTTTTCTTCTTTAATAGGCTGCCTTACATAGAATATATGAGTTGGATGGGATGTTGGAAATCATCTAGTCCAACCCTCTGCCAAATGCAGAAATTCATCCCAACGGTATTCCCAACAGATAGGCATCTGGCCTCTGTTTCACAGGGGAGAACTCGGAAGGAATTTGTTCCACTGAACAGCTTGTTAAGATTTTCTTTTCTTATAATTTAAGCAAACTGCTTTTTATCCTGTCTTCTTCAACAACTCTGAACAATTCTGCCCTGTCTTCTATAGTACATGACAGACCTCCGAACAATTTAAGGTAGTTATTATTGTCAGATTCAGCCTAGAAAGCACACACTGCTAGCGCAGAGCCCTTCGTCAGTTCCACTGCCTCAGGCAACAGGTGATCAGGGCAAGGAAACAAGGTAATCGCAAGTTAACTACTGACAGGGGGCGGGCAGTTAACGCGCAGCAGGAGCCAATTAGAAGTGGCAACAAAACTCCGGCTTTGATACATCGGGAGCGCAGCAATCCAGAGGCAATCGGCGGGCAATTCGAAACCAGATTAAAACAGCCACTCCAACTCACCATAAGAAAAGCCCAAGGAATGCGAGGGCAAGGCAGACAAAGGAAGAAGATTATAACACAACAGAAACCGGCTGAATCTGCCATCAAGGTGAGGGAAGGAGGATCGCAACGGACAGATGGGTAGCCCAGGGCAAGGGCAAGGGGCGGAACCGAGGGGTAACTGCGGGTCAAAGGGGGAACCCTGTAAAACTATTGTAAGAAACTGCACCAAGCCAATCCTGGCTTTGTCTGTAACCGCTACGCATTATGCCTGAATAAACTAGCTTTCGTCCAAGCCTGTGCCTCACGAGGTTTCTGTTCAGCGGCAAATGCAGCGAACCTTACAATTATGTCTCCCTGTAGTCTTCTCTAGGGTGAATGTGCCCAACACATCCAATTTTTCTACATACATTTTTCCTTCCACACCATGTATCTTGGCTGTTCATCTCTGAAAATACTCTAGTTTGTCAATGTCTTTCTTAAACTGGATGCAATATTCTATGGGCAAAGTCTGACCAATGCAAAATAAAGAAAAATAACTTTTTAAAAATTTTGATGCAATTTCTGTTGATGGAGCCAAAGATTGCATTTGTTATTTTTTTGTAGCTGCATCATCTAGTTGGCTCATATTTGACTTGTGATCTAACAAGTTATTCAGATCCTTTTCACATGAATTGTTGCCTATTGTGGTCTCCCTGTGCTATGGCCGTTATTTTTGTTTTTTCCTATCCAAAATAGTACTTTGCATAAGTTGCTATTGAATAGCTTGCTACTTTCTGCCCATTGTTCCAAATTGTTGAAATCCTCTTGAATGTTAGCTATTTTCCCCATCTTTGTGCCATCTGCAAATTTGATCATCATATTTTCTAACTGCTCATTGAAGTCATTTATAAATATGTTGAACAGTACAGAATAGAGTTCTGCTATATGTTACTCAATACTTCCTTCTAGTGTGAGACTAAGCTGAAGCTTCCATTCTTTCAATGCTGAAGCTTCCATTCTTTCAATGTGTTAAATCTGTTTTCCTAAAATATTGTACCTACATGCCAACTGGACAGCAACCTCATTGGCAAGAATACATGAAAAAAACCTGTAATGCTGCGAGTGGGTAATGAGTGAGCCCTATTTTTGTGGCCCCTCTTGTTTAACTCGATGCCAAAGGAAGGAATATGTGAGGCTTTAGTTCCATAACTAAAAGATGAAGCAGGCTCATAAGCAGCGAGGACAAAAAGCCAGGAATCTTGTGTAGGTTGGTTTGGCAGGATGAATAATCCATGCTGGCTCCTTCTAAGCAATGTATTCTTCTCCAAAATACAATGGCGCTGAAAAAATGAACTTGTTGCAGTGTCCCTGGAGTCACGAGATCAGAATTCCGGCGCTTGGTGACCAGCCCACATTTACGACTGATGCAGCATCCCACGGTCATATTCTGTTGCCCTGCTTTCACTTTCCTCGCCCACCTCTCAGCCTCACATCTCTGTCCTTTTGGCTGCCCCGCATAGCATGGCTGAGATGAAGAGGCCGCTGTATTCTGCTGCCGCTACTTACCCACTGCTGCTGACCCCAGCTGACATATGTTGTCTTCTTTGCCTCCCCTCCCCTCTGTGGGGTTCACTGACATCGGCTGGCCTCAAGCCCCATGGTATGGGGGTTCGGTCAGGCATGCTGTGCAAGGGCACCCCTGCCCCTCGCCATCACCTCTCTGGCTGCCAGGCTCCTTGCGGGCCTGACCTGCTTCAGCAGTCCAGCCCATTGTGGAAATGTCCTGGCCTTGCTGCCCAGCTGGAGGATTGCCTTGGTCAGCAGTGGTGCATGCTATGGTGAGGTGAAGGGGTCCGTGGCAGTGCTTTAGGGAAGGCTCCCTCCTTTGTGTGGGGTGTTGCCACCAGAGGAACTTCTTTGTCTGAGGCAGGAATGCACAGAACATGCTGTCTTCCTGGGCAGTGGTGGGCTGAGACTAGCGAAGCAGGGCAGGCCCGCCAAGAGCCCAGCAGGTGGCCCCATAGAAATATAGAAACATAGAAATATCTAAGAACAAACAAGGGACAATATTCATTTTAATAACATTAATTTTACCCCACAAATTTTAATCCATCTATTAACACCCAATTCAATCCTTTCTAAAAGTTTCAACATATTTATTTCCATATATTTAGAAATATTTTGGCATACATAAAGCCCCATATATTTCATATAATCAATAGAAATCACAAAATCCAACTCTTTCTGCACTGATATGTTAGGGTCCAAGGGAAAGATTTATCCCTATTTATCTTATAACCAGTAAACTTTCCAATTTACTGTACAACCTTTATATAATTAGGCAAAGAGGTAGAGTAAAGATCATAAACTGCCAAAATATCATCAGTGTACAAAAATAATTTATACTCACAGCCTGCCAATGTAATTCCCTTAATATCTAATGATTGCCTTACCATGGTGGCCAAAGGTTAAAGGATCAAATTAAATAGCAAGGGCAAAAGCCCTGCGGAGCAACACATTATAACTGAAAAGAGTCTGAAATCATTCAATTTGTTATAACTGTGATGCAGAGTTGCAGATAATAAATCTCAAACAACTGGATAATGTCCTGTGGAAAGCCATATCTAATCATCACTTGCTTTAAAAACTGAACCAAATCAAAGGCTCTTTCTGTGTCTAAAGATATTAATACAGCAGAGTCCATTCTATCCTTGGCTATATCTGATATATCAGTTAATAACTGTAAATTGTCTGATGCTTATGATTTTTGATAAACCCCAGCTGCGAAGGATGAATTATATCTGGTAAGACCTTTTGCAAGTGTCTAACCAGTATGGTAGTTTAAATCTTAGTATCCCATCGATTAATAAAATAGGCCTATGACTAGCACAAAATTTAGGATTCTTACCTGGTTTTAAAATCAATCTTATGTACACCTCATAAAATGATGATGGTAATTTACCATCCTTAAAAGATTCATTATACACCTCTGAAAGTGTTGAACTGAACAAACCTGCAAATGCCTTATGCCATTCCACTTGGGCAGGAGCTTTTCCATTTTACAACAATTGAATAGAATCTAATAGTTCCTGGAGTGATAGAGGAGTTTCAGCATGTCAATATTATCTAATGATAACAGTTGAATATCCACTTGACTCAACAATGGATCAGTCTCATGCTGGTCTCATTCAAACTATATATTGAGTTATAAAAAAGTAAAAACTGATTATTGATGGCTATAGGATCCAGGATCAAAAACAGTCAGATCATCCTCAGAAATTTAATTTCAGAAATTAAATGCTGCTGATTTTGTTGCTTCAAATGATGTGCCAGCAATTTACTTGGCCTTTCACCAGACTCCCAATACTTTAATTTGAATTTATTTGATCAACATTCTACCTTCTCAGCATAGAAATCTCTAATT